GATCCGCGGGAGAAAATGTGTCTTGCTCAGAAAGGCACGTGGCGAATTTGCACATTCAGAAAAAGGAATGCCAAAAGCGCGAGAGTTCCCAGGAGCCTCGGCAAACCCAGAAGAAGAGCGCTCACAATTCGTGGGGAAGTTCATCGGGGTGCTTTGAAGGAAGATTTGGAGACCCTCCGTGAGCACAGCCCTCCCTGATTCGCACTTTCCCAGTGCCTGGGCTCAGCTCTGTTTGGTCCCAGGCACTGTTTCTTCCAAGGCCGTGCCTGGAGATGTGGAGGATGGAACATGGGGCACCCTGAATACAGAACTATTGAGCTCCATCAGCCGAAAGGTGGCCTTCCTCCAGAACTAATAGGAAAGCTGGACGCAGCTTCTAGACGGGGCTTCTCTGTCGCACAAAGTTCTGGGATTTGTCTGCTTGTCCCGGCTTCCATGGACACCCATTTCCTATCCACCTAAGGTGGCTGGAGAAATCTCAAGTGGCTGAGACCCCACCCCACAGATTCCACGCCAGCCTCCCTTCTCTGGGCCGTGGGGACTCCATGGACTCGTCGAGCATTTTTAAAAAAGCAACAGCCTCTTATGCAGATCTACTCACAGAACAATCTGTAAAAGAGGCAAGAATATAATTTCCCCCACAGGCTAACGCATGGAAATACTCATTTTGGGGGATTTGCGTACTTGGGGGGGGCGTGCAAGTCTTCCGTGGGGTGTGTGCATTTGCTGTGCTCTGCGTTTGTGCGAATGCCTTTTCGCCATCTCCGGTTCTGCCAGCGAGCAGGCGGAGACAGACGAATGCGGGCCGCGCACTGTTGCGTGGCGAACCCCCGTGCCCCCGCGACTCACCCCCCCGTGCCTTGAAAGTCTCGAACCTGGCACCGTCCGTTCATTGTGCGGGGCGTGGAGCAGGGTTGCGTCCAAAGCCCCGCCTGGCCTTTCCCCCGCTCCCATCTCAGCCATTCTGAGCTGCACAGTCATATGCTAAAAATTACAAGGACGTCGATAGGATTCCTCCTTCCCCCTCCAACCTCCACATTTTTAATTTACATAGATACATATATATATATATTTGGCAATTCATGTAGTGTAGCAAATTGTACTTCATAAAGCAAAGGTTACGAGTTGTTATTGCCTTGCCGAAACAATCACGAGTGGCTGATCCTTACTCCGGGCCACGGCGCTCTCTCTCCGAATGCTTAGCACTGTTCCAATCACCGCTCCGGATTTATTCCAGTCAGCGCGGATGGGGGGTGGGGAGGCCGCGGGCGCGTGCACCGAGCGCGGCATCTGGATTTCGCTCGCCTCGCCTCCTCCCACTCGCGTCGGTGCAATGCACTCCATCGCCAGCTGCCCTGCAATCGGTTTGCGTGGGAAGGAAGCGCAGGAAGGCACATTCCTGTGTGCAGAGCGGAGGCTTCCGGGTTCCCGCGCTTGCCCTTCTCTCCCTCCGGACTCCCGGTCCAGTCTGCACAGTTTTCCCTCACGGGCCGCATCAATCTTGCTTTGTCTGCGGAGGAGAATTTGGAAGTTTGTGCGGGTTTAGGGAAAATGGCCCCAGCGTGCAAGCGCGGCCCGTTCCAGCATGTTTCTTCGCTTGCGCTGAGCCAGCGGCGATTCAGAGAGGTGAAAGAGAGCGGCTTGGGCGGAGCAGTGGGAGGATGACCGGATCCTTCTGGGGATTTGAACGGCCATTTTGCACCCACCCCGACTCATGAGTAGCCCTTTCGTCGCCAGCGGGCTGCTGCCACGGCTCTTGCGCTGCACCTGTGGCCTCTGCGCCCAGCCTGTGCTCCCACCTTCTTGCGCCGGGGAAACACAGTCCGGGGGGCCGGATCGTGCCCATGGGGCCGACTCCCCTCTGCACCCCCTGGCAGTCCCTTCACCCCTCCAGGTGCCCCCCAAGGCCACGGCCCCCCCGCAGCGCCCCTCCTCCGGAACACAACTGCATCAGGCAGGACCTGTGTGTGTGTGTGTGTGTGGTGGTTTAAAGAGAGAGGGGGAAAAGCACACACACCACGTCCTCCGGTTGCCATAACGACCCAATGCAAATCGCTTTGCCTGCCTTGTGCCTTCCCTCTCACCCACAGACTCCTGCCCGCCCTGCGTCTGACCCACGCCCAGCCCCAGGGCACCCGGACGGGGGCGAAGGGCCCCGCAGCGCTGCCGTTCCCTTGGTGGCTTCCGGCAGAGCCGCCCCGTGGCCCCTCGACGCGCCTTCCGGCTCCTGCGGGGCGACGGGGCCACCCTGCCGTCCGCCCGACATCCAGGCTTCCTTGGCGCCCCAGACCCCCAAGCAGGGGGGTCGAAGGCCGTGCTTCCCAGGCCTGGCTGCTACCCCTCCCTCCGCGCGGAGGTTGCCACGGACCCGCGGGCCAGAAGGAGCCACGTGGGTTGCAGGAGAATTGTGGGCAGCGGCCTCCACACGCGTGGGGCACAGCGACCTCGGGAGCGGGAGCGCCCGACGAAGTCCGCCTTGGCCAGCCTGTGGGGCGAAGGGCTTTGGCTGCCCCCCTCCCGCAGGCCCCCTGTCTCCGTGAGTGGCGAACACGCCACCTCTGCCCGAGGGCCTTCTGCACATGCCCCGCATCCACGCCCCCCGCTCACGGCTTCTGACCTTTGCGTCCGCTGGCGCAGGTTGCGTTCGCAGTGGGGACGTCCCCCATCACGGTGCCAGAGGCCTTATCGATTAGGATCGTTTTCGAGCTTGTCGCGGGGAGATATAGATTTTCCCCAGCCGCTTGTATCAAAGAGATGATTTATTTGTCTTTGCAAGAAAAACAAATATTCTGCTATTTCCCCCACCCCCTTTAATCTCTAAATACTTCGGCGCAAAATCGATCAATCGATACACGGACCGCAGACAGTCCCTTTCCTGTGGGCTCATAAAAACGTTAAATACTCATACGTGCGAAGACATTATGCAGGCAAAGCTGGAGCGGGTGGCTGAGGACGGACCACTCCTGAATCGCCAGGCGGGTCTTCCAAGTAATCAGTTTCCCTGCCCTGACTCTGTCTCTGTAGATTTTGGGCCGGCGGCGTAAGAATTTTGTTTCGGTCCCGCTTCCCCCCGGTTGTGCCAAGAGGGGCTCACCCGGCCCCTGCCCGGCGGGCTTTGTGGACCTCCAGGCTTCCTTATCGTGTCCCTTGGGTTGACACCTGCCACTGCGCGGTTCGCTCTCCGCTGCCGCCGCTTCCTCTGGCTGCCTGCCTCCTCGGGATGCTCAGGTTTTCGCCGTGCTGAACTCTGGGGTCCGTCGGAGGCGCACCCAGAGAGCCTCGGTGACCGGGCACGCTTGGGACGGGACGGCAGGCGCCGCTCGATGGGCTACAAACCACGCAGGGAAGGCAGAGGAAGAGGTGGGGGCTGTGGACCCCCGGCAGAGCGCCAGTTGCCCCGCGGCGCGTGGACGAGGCGGAGGGGCCGCAAGGCCCGCGGATCCAGCCCTGCTCCAAGTTGAAGCTGCGTGGACAGCTTTGCAAAGAGAAGCCGAGTCCTGCTGCGTGCGGTTCCCGTTGCGCGTCGGACAGCGCATACGTGGGGGGTCCCTCTCCGCGCGCCCCCCCACCGACGGCCAGAGGCAGAGGCGTGGGGTCCGGGAGGGTGCCGGGGCTGACTTTTGCACGCCGGCTGCTGCCCCCGCTTCCGCTGCAGAGCCGTGCTCACCGCTCCGGCGCCGGGGCCTGTGACGGACACGCATGGGTGTGGCGCACGGTGTGCGCCTCCCTGAGGTGCCCCAGAAGCCGGATAGTGTCTCGGCTGCGCTCTGCGCCTCGCTCACGCTTCCCAAACATCTCTCTTTATTTATAGCTTCCTGCGAGATGTCACCCGCCTATTTATACAGATGCTTCTTTCTCTTTTGTACGTGTTAAAAATACATATCTTTACCTTCCTCCCCTGGATCTACCCCTCCATATTCATATTCATATTCAAGCCTCGGGGGATTCACTTAGCAAAGCCACCGGTGATGTTTCGACAGGTGACGTGCAAGGGGCAGTGGCCAGGGAGGGGCTTGTTGGCTCAGGTGGCACATGGGCTGAGGAGGCCAGGTGGAGGGACAGCGCCCTCGTGCCTCTTCCGAGCATCGTGGGGTGCACCGCATCCTCTTCGGTTTGGTTTGGGCGATCAGAAAAGGCGATTTGGGAGGGCAGTAAAATAGTGCCCCTCGCCCGGAAGAAAATGCGAGGCAATATTGAGGTTTTAATGGGTCACAGGTTAAATCCTGGGGCAGCTGCAGGGAGATTCTCCTGACAGAGTAGCTGCCCGGAGGTGGGCTGGGTTCGGACAACGCAGCTCGCCATGATGGGTTTTCACCACGGCCGGTGTGTTGCATTCTCTGAACCCAGGCACGCTACTCTGCCATGGTGGGGTTGGACGTTCGAAGCCATGCTGGGAAACCAGGTTTGTTCTCTGGTTCTCTGGAAGAGCAGCAATTTCAGGAGCTGCCCCAGCCACCCAGCCTCTCGCTAGGAATCAGTGAGGAAGAGGGAGGGGACACAGGCAGGGGGCAGTGGGACTTGAGATTGAATTTCAGGCTTGGGGTGATGGGCTATATCCCCGCCGTGGGAGGCCTGGTACTGGCAAAGTTCCGAGAACGTGGCACTTGAAAGAGCCACTGGATTCTGCTCCAGGTGTTGACCAGAAAGCACAAAGCCGGGCTGGACCTGAGCTGCGCCAAAGGGCCGCCTTGCTCTCCCCACCGGAGGATCTTCAGGGACGCCGGCGCCGTTCTCTGCTCCAGGCAAGATCCCGCAGGCCATCCATGCCGGCAGAAGATCCCGCTCCATTCCCTCGTCTACGGATCTGAGAACTGGTCGCTTTTCATTCTCTCTCTCTCTCTTGCCTCGAAACGGACCGCTGGCTACCTAATCGGGCCTCATCTGCTGCCCAGCCTCCCATTTTGGCTTCTGCAGAGCTGCAGAGGGACAGAAATGTCGGGAAGCCATTAGCTACGGAGGTGCAGAGAAACGCAGGGAGAGAAACTCTCATGCGCGCGCCGATGAAAGAGAAGATCAGAAGGGAGGCCATGAATGGGAAGTGCGCAGCATCCCAAATCAGCTCCGCGTGTCAGTGGAGGGCTCGTGCCCGGCTCCTCTTCTTTTCCGAACCAGCTGCTTCCCTTATCGCTAACACGCAGCACATGTTCCCAGCGAGGTAAGAGGAGCGACGGGCGCTGGAGGACAAAAGGAGGCAGACAAAGATGAAGCTCCGGCAGCAGGCGCGGGGGAGGGGCCTCCCTGGCCTAGTTTTCTGCCTCTTCAGAACGGCTCAGCAATACCACCCTGCCTTTGAAGATTTACATATTTAGGTGGTGCCGAAATACTTCTGAACTGGAGCCCCCACTCGGCAGGGGGAGCGGCTCTTGGTCCTCCGCTTCCGGCCGCTCTTGGCGATGCCTTTCCCAGGCGGCCAGCCACCTCCGCCCTGCTTCTGTCCTCTCTTCTTGGCTGAAGCACCGGCCCCCTGGATGCCGCATGGAGGCCCGGCTTGCCCTTTCACACACCGGCAACCGTGGGGGGCCGGGCAGGGTGGGCACCAAACACCAGAAAACAAAGGAAGGGCTGAAGTACAGGTTGTTTGCCAAGAACACTGCCAGACAAGGTGCGGTGAAGCTCTTCCAAACCCGGAAGTGCCATGGACCCAGATAAAGATGAGATCGGAGGGCAGCTCTCGCTTTGCATCCCTAGCCCAATGCCCCCTTCAAATGCGTATGTATCTTAATGAAACACAGAGGACTCAAAGCAAGAATCGAAGGGGTGGAGATCCTGGCAGGTGCCCAGAAAGGTCGTCCCCCGGCACACTCAGCGTGTCAGCCAGCTCAGCCGCAGGCCCCCGTTCTCTCCCCACCAGTATCCACTTCTCTGCCAACAGCAGCATGGATAGCGCTATTCCATGACTGACCTTTCTCGTTCTTTCAGCAGTTCGACTGTTGCTGAGCATTCCAGGGCACCCGGCTCAGGTTTTGCTTTGTGTTAAAGCCGCACAGATCTCAGCCAGCCTCCTATCTTTTAAAACAGACGTCCTTTTAGCGTGCGGCTCTCCGCAGTTTTTAGTTGCGAAGGACGGGAGCCTCGGCCCCCCGAACTTTGCACAAACACCTTGTCATGATCCGGGTGGGAAATATTGTACGTTGGCTGAGAACGAGGAGAAATGGAGAAAGCGGCTGCGTTGCTGCAGCAACCGGAGATCCCGGTGTTGCTGATTGCCATAATTATGAACGGGGTGGGGGAGCGTTGGGGCCTCCCCATTAGCGATGTGACAGGGTCCGAACCTGGGGCGCTCCAGCCTCGCCCCCTCCCCTGGCTGGGACATGCCGCTGCCCGTAAGCTGAGTCTCCGCCCGGTGCTTCACGGATACCTGCTGCTTGCCTACTTTATTACGCTCTCATGACGTCGGTGGCAAAGCGCCCCTCTGTATCGTGGGTCTAGGTGCCAGCAGTTTTGGGAGGCCCGTGCCAGCCGGGACTGATGATTTTGCTGGAGGGCTGTGAGGAGGTCTGCTCACTTGGGGAGGGGAGGGGAGGGGAGGAAGAGTGATGGGTCACACGGGAGTTGGCGGGCCACCTCGCCAAGGCCTCGCAGCCACCGTGCGACGGCCAGCGGTTTCCTGGGACAAGCCACCCTGCCTGCTGGCCCGCCCTCTTGGGCTCACAGCGGCCAGCGAGGGCCAGCTGCAGGGGGCAGCTTGGCCGGACGCAGCCGTTCCCGAAGACCCGGTGTGGTGTGGGAGCAGCGTGCCGAAGCGTTCAGACGCATTGCTCTCCTTGCAGGAACCAGCCGCGCTGTCTGGCCTTCATTCCCGCTCTGGATCGGAGGAGGACTGCGGAGTGCGGAAGGTATGGTCCTGCTAACGCCACCTGTCGGCCTGGACGTTCCAGGCTCTTGGGGGCTCTCTGGGGTGGGAGGGCAGGCCAGCCGGGGCACACCTGGCCCAGGAAGGCCTGGTTGGGCACCTGACGCAGGCCCCCACTGCGGCTGCCCACTGGCCAGCACCCCGGACTAGCACCGCCCCTGGGCTCGGGCCTGGTGCACACGGAGAACGGCAGAATACCCTGCGCTCGAGGGGCCTGGGGACCACTGGGGGTCCTCCGCTCGGCCGCCGCAGGAGTTCGTGCAGCGGGGGCGGCGTCCTCGCCCGCTTTCCCCCTCCTGAGCTGCCAGACTCCTCAGCTGTGCGGCCTCTGCCCACGGAGGGCTCCTTCTGGGCTTTCAAGGTGAGCAGCCCCCGGGACGGGCTGGTTGCCTTTCCTTCGCAGTGGCAGGTTCCACGGCTGGGGGGAGAAAGCGCCCTCTCAGCTTGGGGGGTGGTGCTTTTCAGGATGGAGATGGGGATAATGAGCCAAAGATAAATCCCGTTAATGCTAATGGCGAGTTATCTGTGGTTAATTACCCCTGAGAGCCCTCTCTTCCATCATGTAAAGTGACTTTGTCAAGACCACCTGCGACGACGGGAGACTCCACTCCACTTTGCTGGAGTTCAGCGGCCTGCCTTGGCAGCGGGGCCGGCCCATTTAGCCAGGCCTGGGGTCGCGAGGCTTCTCCGGCAATTCTCCCGTGGGGGCTTGCAGCCTTGCAGGGAATGCCGGGCACATCAGGAGAACCGCCGGGGCAACGCGGTGTCTGGCAGTCATAACATCTTGGGCAGACGTGTGTGTGTGTTGTTCCTAAGTTGTTGCTCTTTTAAGCAGAAGGAAGCGGTCCCGGCCAGAAGCCTTGGACACCTCCGGCTGTTCCACACATCAACTCCCTGCTGGTGGCACAGGAGACCAGAAAGGTAGGCGCCCTGGCGGGTGTTGGTTTTGGTCTGGATTTAGCCAAATTTGCTGCGTTCTTCATGGTCTAGTTGGATTCCTCTTGAATTTCATTGGCAAGTCCTTATACGATGCCCACCTGCATGATTCTCTTTTGTGCAAGAATGTTTCCATGTGTATTTTCCTAATGCCAGTATTTATTGTGTGCATCTTCGACCCGCTCGTCCTCTTCTCGGATACTCTGCGGTATATCCTGTGCATCTTTCAGAGGTATGTTTTCGTTTAGTCCACAAGTCACTTTGGTCCACCGTGGAAGCCTGGAAATGCACAGTCTTTGACTGCAGATTGGATTCATGTCTGTGTTTCCACCTGAAGGTGCCGAACAGGCCAACTCTGAATGAAGGGGAATGAATTTTGTATGCGCCCCCGTTGCCCAGGGCTTTGAAGCTTTGCTCTTAAAATTCTGGCTTTGAATCGCGCCGTCCTCAACCATGTCTGTGCCAAATTTGTGTCGCTGCCTCTTTTTACCTTATGGGCGCCTCAATTTTAACCGCTGCGTGTCGGGTCCTCTTCATGCTCGGAACGGCAAATGGCTTTCATGGTTTCCTGTTTGTTTCTCGAAGGTACAAATTGAGCACGTTTTTCTAAAAGCACCCTTGATAGAACACATTCCCCATCTTCCCAGCTAGTCTTGATTTCTGCCGTTGGCTAAATGCGGTGCTTTTGTTTTGATTTTTGGCAAGGAAGGGTAGCTCAGTACAGATTACGGTGAGTGCGTTTGCCGCAGGGCTGGGCCCCGTTCATTTCACTTCGGCGGGTTTATGTGTTTCCGCCTGACCCAAGGGGATGATTTCTTTGCTCGGTGCTGATGAATGTGGGAAAGGCGGCGAATAAGGTGAGAAAGAGGCACAGGTCGGCGATCTGGGCTTGCTCAAAGACCAGCTGAGTGATTCCCTGATTTGAGTTCAGCAACTCAATGCACCTGCCAGCCAGTCTGATGCAGAACGGAGGGGCGGGCGGGAATCCTGGGAGCTTGGAAGTGAGTGCGTGGCCTCGGGGCGTCTCGCTTGCAATTTCCCGGCTGCCGGCTTACATTCTGGCACAGCTCTGCCTGCGTGCATCTCCGTCTCGGCTCTGGGACCAGCTGCCGGGCAGGTGCAGCGGCAGTGCAGCGGGCAGGGAACGGGTCACGCGCCGCCTCCGCAGCCCACCAAGCCCCAAGCGGGGGGGGGGGGAGTCGGCAGGCAGGCAGAGGGCAGGAGCGCAGGGCCACCGGTCAGCGAGGGCCACGGCCTGTGGTGTGGCCAAGGCCAGCGGCCTGGAGGAGCTTCAGGAAGAAAGGCTGCGGGAGCCACGGGTTCCGGCGCCAGGAGCTGGGAGGACTGGGTTGCGGCAGCGGTTCCTCCGGAGCTGGGCTGGCTGCAGGGCGTGTGCCTCGTCTCTGCCGCTGCCCGTGCCTTCGGCTTCTGGAGATGCTGCGCATGGGTTAGGTGGACAACTGTTCTTGCCTTCTGACCCTGTGGGCGAGGAGCAGTCCTCGGGGGCATTCCTCAGAGGCCACTGCTGTCAGAGGGCCTATGGCGTCTTCTCCACTGATGCTGGAGGTGCGGGGCGGTTGCCCCCCCCCCCACAGGTTCTGCTCAGCCCAGCCTAGGTCAGACTCGGAGAGGCAGGGCCTGGCGCGTTGGACCGTGAAGGCTTCCCAAAATGCCCTTTCTTCTCTTACACGTTCTCATAAAGGTAACAGGAATGCGAGGGGGTCGAAGACCTCTTCCGGCTGGAGCTTGTGCAGGATAAAGTTTCTCTCCCCCGGATCTTGTCTTCTCCCAAGAAGGGCAGAGCCGGAGCCGCCTTCCCAAACCTGGCACTAGGATTCCCAGGGCCCCGCTCCATGGGCCGGGCTGGGAGGGGCCGCTGGAGTCGGATTCAGCGCAGGCGTGAACTTTCTGACCTCTGGCGCTTCCCCCGGCAGCCAATTCCAACTTTCCGCCTCTCGTTTATTTCCCAATAACGCGCCCGCTCCAAAAGGGCCCCGAGCAGGTAGCAATCTTGAAAACACAGCATGTTATCGCAGCATAAAACGTGCATTTATAGTCCCACATAAAAAATAATGCTTATAAAATGGATTTGAAAGATATATTTCATCTCCAGTGCATCTTTTAAACTATACAGCGAAAACGAAGCCCTGCTTATTTCTGGCGGATAAACTGGGGTGGGGAGGGGGCCGTCAGGCAGCTTGGCCTGGCCTGGGGTTGCCGCTGACCCGCCGTTGGTGGCGTGCACGGTGGACCGAGCGAGCGAGCGTTCATTCGTGGTGTGAGCGAGCCACGGAGACGCTGCACCCTGCAAGCCGATGGGGCACCCGATCCCAGACCGGTCCCCAGAACATCAGATCTTCTCAGTCCGGAAACCGGGAGAGCGGATCCCAGAAGACGCTCTGCTTTGAGAACCAGATCCACTGGTGCAAAGCAAAATCCGTAAAGAAATGGAGGGCCGAATGTGGAGAGGCCACGGGCAGCTTTGTGGGCGCAGAATTTCGGTTTCGGTGCGGCCTCCCCCGGCCGAGCGCTCCTTTTCCGGCCCGGCCTCCGGCCTGTCCGGGTGCTGCTTAATCTCCCGCAAAGGGCGCGAGGGACAGAGAGAGGGGAAGGATCCGCCTGCTCCCACTTCTCCGTCTCCGCATTAATCTTGATTATGAAGCCCTCGTGCTGAAGTTAATTTTCTTGTAGATGCCTATCAGTCATGTTAGCTGGGAATCTCTCTCCAGCTAATAAGGAAATCGCATTCCTTGCAACTTTATTACGCCGCTAATTAGCGCGCGGGACTCTGGCAAATGGGGCTGGGGGAGGGGGAGCGGTGGGTGGTTGAGGGGCGCTTTGTTTCAGAATCCGGGCCGGGGCGTTATGCTCGCTCGGCGCACGCAGGGGCCGGGGGCCCCGTGGGAAGGCCCCGTGGGACAGCAGCACCGCGGCCGAAGCCACACGGACGCGCACGGGGCAAACCGCGCAAGACGCGGCACGCGGCTGGGCGGACCGTGTGGGGAGCTCCCATGGGGAGGACCAAGTCGAACCCGTGCAGGAGGAAGCGTCATGACGGCTGGGCAGCCTGGGCTCCCGGAAGCGTCCTGGGGCCTCCTCCGTGAGCGGCACTGGCCTCGTCGGCCGGCCGTCGGTCTCTCCCCCGCTGGCACTTCTGGAGCTCGCCGGCCTGTCCGGGTCCACGCAGCCCCATGCAAGGGCCACCCGGCCCAGGCGGCTCAGCTGGGCGGGCATCCAGGCCTTCCCCCGCAATCCAGGGTTCAAGCCCTCATGAGCGGCCTTTCCGTAGGAGAGGGAGCCAGCGCAAGGGGCGAGCGTCTGTTTGGCGCGACGGTTGATGGTCGGAGCCCTTAACGGCGGAGCGCCTATCTTTCCAAAACACCCCCCGGCTTTGTTTCCCCCGCCAGAAAAATGTAAATTGGGGAAGATGGCCGTGTGTGCATTGTTTACTTGCGTATTAAAGCTTAACGTTACTTTGGGTACACAAATGGGTTATATGTACCTTTTAGCATATAACATGAGGGTACCATTTGGCAAACCTAGACAGTTCGCAAGCATAAAGGCAGTTGTTTTATTCTAACAATAATTATGCCGATCTCCAGCATGAGAGATGGGGCTGCGATCAGCGGCAACTGAAGGTACTTAACTATATCTTTAATTTTTTTCCGGTTGGGAAAAGAGGGATTTAAAAGCAAAGCACAAATGAGAAAGAGAAAGCTGAAAATGCAAAGCATCAATATTGTAATAAACAGACGGAGGGTTTTATCAGCTAGGTTTAGAAAGAGGAACGAGCCCAAACCATGATCGGGCAGTTAGCAGCTCTCAGTGTTTTTATTTTTTATTTGTTTCGTTAGAAGAGAAATGATCAGAAAGTGAACAGGGGAAGAATTGCCCCGGGGGAGACCGAGCGGCCATCTAGTCCGGCGTCCTGGCCAGATAGCGGCCAGCCTGGTGCTCCAGTGGGAAGCCCATGAGTCACCGCACCCTTCCACCCACACTCCCCAGCAACAGGTGCACATAGGCCCATGGATGCCGGGTGGGAGGGGCGTGGCGCCGTCGGTGGTTTAACTAACTCAGAGCCACGTGAACGGTCTCTCCCTCTGACCTGCCCGGGAGCTGCCACCGGGCGCTGCCCCGTGCCCCGGGTTTTATGCGGGGGGAGAAGAACAGTCTCACGCCCCCAGAGACCACGCGTAATTCCGTCTCCCCTCACTCGGCCTTTCTCCAGGGCCAGGTGCTGCAGCTGTTCCTTTCGCGGGAGGCGCCGCGCTCCCTGCCCTTTTCTGTGTCTGCGCCACCCCGTCTCAGCTGCGGCGAGCCAACTGTGCCCGGGGCGGGCTCCGGCCGCCCCATCGATCGCATCTGAGTCTGCGCTCAGCCTCAGAGGGGCAAAGAGGGTAAATTCTGATCAAGCCGCACTGAAGGAAACAATGCCCACGGCTGTGCTTCCTGCCAGAGGTTGGGAGTTGTCCTTCTGACTTCCCCATCCACCCCCTCCTCTGGTTTCTGATCCTCCACCTCGTGGCCTGTCCACTCTGGTAATCTCAGCCAGGGTCCCCTTTCGGCTGCATTTCTGCCCCTTTTCATTTACCCCCCTGTTCATGGGCCTGGACACGAGTGCACAGGACTTTCACTCCCCCAACAGTTGGCACACGGAGGGGATCTCAGCTGTGGCAGATGGGACATGTCTTCAAAACAGCCTCTGGGGGCTGCAGGGGATGGGCGGAAGGATAAAATCTGGTAGGCACCAGGGTGGAAAAGGCTGTGCGAACAGCCACCCCTTGCCAGTCCTTTCTTCCACATATGACTCGCAGCTGGTTGCTTGCTCGGTGCTTTGAAAGATGGGCCCCATGCCTGTTTTCCACCCTTCTTCGTGACCCCTCGCTAGCAATCCCGTGCCACCAGGCCTCCCAAATCAAAAACCGAGCTGAGCCATAAAGCCAGGCACCCCGGGCTAAGAGAAACCCGTTTCGTCTGGCAGTTTA